TTTTCTAATAACCTAGAATACCTTGGTCATCTTATATATATATATATATATATATATATATATATATATATATATATCCATTGGAAAGGGAAATGATAGAGCGAAAAAATGGATATATGACTATAAAATCGAGAGTCTGGTAAGTATTAGATCTGGATGCTCACTTTAATATTTAATATTTAGTAAATTAATATTTAGTAAAATTTTCAAATCACATCTGGATGCTATATTGAAAATGCTCAAATACAAATACTAATGCAACCTGATGATAGAATTAACATTTGAACATTTGTAGGATGTTAATATAATTTTTTAAAATTTAAATATATCTTGTGACTTATATATATGATTATATTTGAAGTGTATTATATATTTATATATATGATTATATTTTTGTTTATTATATATTTGGGTCGTATGAATTTTTTATAAGATTACATACATACATTTATTTTGTACTTATTAATTTAAATAAATATATATTTACTTTTGAATAAATACTAAAATATTTAAAACATAAATTTATCATAAAAATATTTAATAATTTTTGAAATATGATTTTACCAAATAATATTATGTAAATATACATTTAAAATATAATTTTCATCTATTATTTATCAAGCATTCAAAACATTATATTCATTCAAAAAAAATTAAAGTACATATTAAAAATATAAATATGTTTCGAAATACAATCGTATCATATTCCGTTATCATAGTTGATAAGGTATATTTTGGGTCCCGGCCATGTCACAATCAATGCCACACCACGCTACCGTCGATCCAACAAGAGGAGCACCCCCACACGTCGAACCGAAATCCGTACAAATGCGTTGCTCGGTATGTCCCGGGGACGACGCTGTATGGTGCCGTTCTGCACGTCCTGGGATGGCGGCCGCATAAAGATTCCTCTCACCCCTCGAAGATCGGCCGCTACACCAAACCCGTGTACGATCGACCCCTCATATAGTAGTATAAAAGCCCATTGCTAGCATCCGACCCACGAGGAGGCAAAAACAAAATCAACCCACCATTGACTTGCTCGTCGGAGGGGCTAAAGTCGACAATCACCCGACGAGGACCATCATTACAAGAAAGCAACCACCCCCCAAGCCACGAGCATTTCGATCAAGAGTCACCAACCAGTATCCTGACGGTGAGCCATCAACCAGCGCTCAAACTAAGAGACGCCAATCAATATTCCGGTGCCAACACCCCTTTTTGAGGGCTTGACCGACCTCGGCAACCAGCTCAGCTGACCAAAGACTCCTGACATTAACCCATGGACCAGACCACCACGACGCATCAGTTTTCAACAACAGCCATAAAAGATTGCAACAATTGACACAGGAAAACCAAAGCATAAAATTTTACTCATAATTTGAAGATGCCTAAATTGCAATTTCTTAGTGAATTGGTAAGAGAGAATGCAAAGTTGTAGTCACACATCATTTCCTTGCCACCCTCTCTTGATTCTTCCATCAATGCAGCAGCGACCGATTAAAGCGTTGATGTTGCCTTCTTAATTAAATAGTAAGATAAGTGCCAAAGAGACGTCAAAGTCTTCGGATATATGTTTTCTTTTTTCATACCAAAACAAAAACGAATGACTTGCAGGATGAGACGAGATTACTGTAACAATCGAATACGACAGATCACCAGCAGAAAATTTTCAATGGCACTCGAAGACATCACATCAAAGCGCAGGAGAAGAAGCATAAATTCCAAGGCTAAATGGATAAAGATGTCAAAAAGGTCACGTCAAAGAAGACTTAATGAACGCCTTGCTGCATTTTCTGTATGAGATTTTTCGCACGCAATTTCTTAATGTTGGTGTGTTCATATTGCTCTACAACAGGTGACGTTCCTGTTCTTATATCAAGATAAGTCCAACAAAATTTTCTTGTCGCTTGTGTTATCTATGTTAGGATTAGATGAAACATAGTAAAGATTACATTTATAATGCGAGCTCAAATCCAATTTTGTTGAACAGACTCATAAATCTTGTTTTCAAATCAGAAACCAAATGATTTAAGAACAAGAGTAAGATAGATGATGTTTACATCTTCAAGTATCTTTCTAGAAATGAAACAAATATGTTCATTGTGATTCAAAGAAGAAACGAATAGATTCTCATAACACTTAATTCCATTATTCCTTCGTATCTTATCTCTACAGTAACTGACGTTCTGTAGATCCTTAAATGTGACTATGATAGTGCATGTTCATAGGGAAGCCAACGATCTACGTGAGAAGGCTTCCAAGTTTCGGAAATCTTTTTCTCTTAGTGTTGTTATTATTATTGAGGTGGCGGCGGACACGAAGAAACTGAAGGTTCGTGCATGTTCTTCAGCCTTCTCTTCCCGGTGCTGGGTTCCCTTTCTGGTGTTTCCTCGCGGTCGGATTCTGATCATGGCACTTGCAGAGCACCGTTTGACCCGTGACACGTAAAGTTGAGGAGCTGCAGCTGAAGACGGAGGCGCAGCAAAACTTGGATCGTATGTGTGATGTCCTGGTGATGGAGGATTCTGGGTCCGAGCAAAAGGTTTCTTAACGATGCATTTACTTCCATTGTTCTTGGTAAAGATTTTAATCTTGATCGATCAAGTGCAATGGTCCGTGGAAAGAGATCTAGACCTGAAGAACTAAGATTGTTCTTGAGATATCTTGTTCCGTTGATTCTCCAGTTATCGTTGAGCAAGAAGCCTTGTCTGCAACTCAACCTTCTTCTCCTTGCATTCCGTTTATTTTCCTGGTGCATTAATTGGATTCGACGATTGCCTGTAGGTTTCCTCCTTGAGAAACGATGAGGCTGCACAGAAGGTACAGTGCTTGCTTGATGAATTCTTTACGAATCATCTTATCGATCATGAACTAGAAGAACCCTAACTTTTGTTCTTTATGGATCGTCTCACTTATCATGAACATACTGCTTTTCGAAATGAAGGCAAAGCAAATCATGATCCTGAAAAGCCTTCAAAACCAGAAAGACACCGAAAGGAAGAAGCATTCTAGTGTCTCCGTAATGTTGAATTTGATAAGAAGAAGGGATAGAATTATTAAACAAAGGAAAAGTAAGACGAGGTTAAAATCACATTTAAGATCACATTTATTTCCAGCACGAGATCGATGGAGTCCAATCTAAATCTTAAGTGTGCACCCATTTCTATGTCCTCTCCAACGATCCCTGAAGTCAACAGAGAAACTACGACTAATTTGTGGATTAAAGCATTCCTGCAGTCGAACCAAGAGACATAAGGAACAAGCAAAAACCCAACTTTCCTCCCAAACCGTACGAAAAATCGAGCTAGAATTTATGATTCGGAGGAACTCTCTCAACGAACATGAAGGCGAAAACGATGGATGCGGATTTGGATCAACGAAGGACCTCCACACCACAGCAGTCATTTAGCTCTTTCTTCTTTATAAGGGAAATAAGATCCTTCTTTGTTTGAATGCATGGAACTAAAAGACAAAGAAGATCCACCCAAGATGTAAACTATTGACGTTGCTGACATCTATCGGTCGTGTTTCTCAGCTGCAAAGTTGGACACAGTCAAATTTCTTAGGAGTTTTCCATCCCATAAGGATATATAGAGGATTTTTTTGTTGTTGATATTTTGCCGCAAATTTGTAATGGTAACTGAAGACGATTAATTTTCGAGCGAAGAACGTATACAAGATCACAAAAAGTTGTAGCAATGGATGGTAACAATCTATTCAGCCATTAATATTTCTTGTGTTTGAGGCTTATAAACTGTTCTTTTTTCTTGTTTACTTACCACAAACAGGCAAAATCACTTCGTCTTTTACCAAACTGAAATGGGAAAGTCAAAACACTTTCTCTCTCTCTCTCTCTCTCCCAGATTGTCATCCAAAACACATGGAAGCCTGTTTCTCCTTCCTCGCTTCAGCTCAGTCAACTGCAGAACCAATTCAGCCATTACATGTCAAACACTCGTAAGGTTTCTCTTCTCTCCACGCTCTGAACTCTTTTCAACCCTAACTTCATTCTGATCTTTTCCGCGAAGTAGACGATAAGCAGTGTGTACGCATGCAGAAAAGCAGAGACTTAGCCAAGTAAAATGGCGGAGATTTCTTCATGCACAGTGACACAATTGGTCAGCAGACGATTTCTGTCGCCTGGAAGAAAGATCAACGACGTCCAAATCCCAGAGACGGGGACGAGGACGAAGCAACCTCGACGACAATCAAAACCCTAATAAATGTTCCTGACGCATGCACAGTCATGACACCAATTGTGTTTGTCCAATGTTAGTGCTGCAGCACTGATATTTATTTTCCAGTCTCCAAATACCATGGTGTGGAGATTGAGATTTCTAAGCAGCTCATCATGGTGATGAGGACATGACCTAGAAATGGTATCATCCACAAATCATCAGCTATCATAATCATAGTCTTTTGCAGTACCTAAACTTCAACATATACCACAATATAAGATACATTGAATAATATCTTGGGCATATTATTTGCAAGTCCTCCGTATGTGGATTTGATTAGTTGTAAGTAAGACAATTATATCAAATATATAAGTCCGGAATTTGAGTTCTACACATCTCCTCTGCTTTTATTGTACCTCCAAATGTAACTAATAATACATTCAAACATTTAAATAATTACACCTACAAATTTTTTATTACAATATAATGCCACAAGTTAGCATTATATTGTTTTTTACATAATGTTATATAAATAATTTTTTTATACAATCAAAAATAAAAATGACATTATAATTTAAAAATCATACCAAGTATATATTAAAAAATTAGTATAAGTATCACATGACATTAAGTACCAAAAATATATTTTTTAAATAAAAAGATATTATAGTATAATACTCTTAAAAGAGAATATAATTGCTTCCACTATTTTTTTAAAAGGTGTTTCTGGAAAATCACTCAAAATATATTATTCCTACAATTTTTGAGCTTCTCCTGCAGAACATAAAGCCAGCAGTGTAGCTTCTTTGTTGCTTTTGAAGTCACCCGGAGGACGGCGGTAGGGTCGGAAGGTGTCGGAGAATGGCGGGGGGAGATGCAGGTGACTCGAGGGATCTCGACGAGACGCCGACGTGGGCCGTGGCGGCTGTCAGTTCGGTTTTCATTCTCATCTCCCTATTGCTGGAGAAGGGACTGCATCACCTTGGAGAGGTGAGGGGATGCCTCGCTCTCTGTTCTCGTCTCCTGATTAGGAATTTTGTCGGGACGGTGCCGGTTTCCGTTGCTATTTATTGATGGTGTTGGGATTTTGCAGCAGGAAAACGGTCCAAAAGATTGTATCTTGGCTTTTGTTTCTTGTCGTGTTCTTGTAGTTCTTTCTTGCCCAACTTTTTCTTTGATTACATTTTTCCTCCTGAGGAGAAGTTGAGGCGTACCCGTTAACCTTCAAGACGAGAGATTTTGCAAAGAACAAGAAAAAATGCTACTTTTTGACGGGTCCTTATGGTTCTCGTTTGCGTCGAGCGAAGGATTGCTTTTCGTTTGCGGACCGGCGTTTGTGACTGAGTGGAGAATTTATTTACAGCTTTACGTTTGTTTATGGCTTACCAAAACGTAGAGCCGATTCAGAAGAAGTGCCTCTCTGTCGGTTTATCCGTGGAGAGACTCTGTGGATGGAAAAGTGAGTGAGAAATTAGATATTGAGAGTTACCGAAGATAAAAAGCGTTCTCCTTTTTGGTAGGAATTTTGACTGCTTTTCTTGAGAGTGTTAGGATTTTGAAGCAGTAAAAATATCAAAAGATCGTATCTTGGCATTTATTCTTTATTTTTTATTGTAATTCTTCGTTACTGTTAGTTTTCTTGGAATTTATTTTATTTTTGAGAAAAAGATGTGGTGTACCCGTCAACCTTCATCACAAGGGATTTTACAACGAATAGAAAGAATAATTTTCTACGTTTTGACTAGTTTATGTCTTTTTATTTTTTAGATTTGTTTGAGGGAAGGCTTGTTCTTGATTTTGTGATGGGCTTGTGGCGAAACTTTTTTACCTTTCTACGTTTGAATATGTCTTACAACACTAAATGATTCACTATTTGAAGAAACTTTATCCTTTATTTTCTCATTCCCTTTCCTTTCTTAAGGTTTCTTGATTTTTCTTTCTTGTTCCACTAACCAGGGTTCACAGATGTATATGGCTTCTGATTTCTTCTTCTAAGGTTTTATTGTTGGCACTTTTCCTGGGTGAGGTCTATTCATGTATGATTATTGTCATCGGAAGGTGTAATTTCTCAATATTTCTTGTTCCCACTTGAATGATGCTTTTGGGTTTCATGTCTTGATAACAGAATTGGAATATGACTATCATTTAAGTGTAATTGGTCCAAAAGTTTCTTCATGACCACTACATGTATGGTAAACAGTTTGATATTGTATTCTTGCAAGTGTTACGTTGTACTATGTTACCAAGTTCAAGATTTGGCTCCTTCGATGACACTTTATTATTATGAAGCTAGAGAATTTTGCTTCTATGCCTTCTTTTTTCGTCATCTTTCATTTGTGTCAAGAACTTACTTTGATTCTGTGCCACATTTAGAATCCAAGCCTGCAAATTGTCCAGTTTCCTTTTAAGTGTATTTTTTTTTTCCCATTAGCCACAAAAGATATAATATCATTTTCTGTTGACTTGGGTACCAGTGGCTTACAAAGAAGCACAAGAAGACTCTCTTTGATGCCCTCGAGAAAGTTAAAGCTGGTAAGATCTGAAATTTCATTCCTGTGATCATACAAACATAGAATGCTAATTCTTTAGTTCCATTTACATCCAGTTCTCATATGTGGTCTCAGTAACTGTAGCTAGCTCTGTAAATTAGACAACATAAAGTACTTTGCTCCGCAGACAAGTCACTTTGTGTTCCCATATGGTTTTTGCAGAGTTGATGATTCTTGGTTTCATTTCGTTACTGCTGACCGTTGGAGAGACTTACATCACCAAAATATGCATACCCTATAAAGTTGCAGAAACCATGTTGCCATGCCCTCCTAACGACACATTGACATCAGAGGCAGGTGGAGGAAACCATAGGAGACTGCTCATGGACCAAAATGCCAAGCGTAGGATCTTGGCAGCTGGTTCACCTGCTTCATGTCCCATGGTGAGTAAATTTTTTAGAAGTATCAAATTGTTTTGGTTGTTCCTGCAGCTGTTTTGCAAAATTTCTCGGAAATATGAATGCACTTTTTGGTTTGTTTGAGCAAAATGCAATTTTTCTATTTGTTATATAGTTGCACCACAGATGAAATTCTTCACATTATTGTCTGTGAGAAAAATGTTTTGTTTATAGCTTATATATGCTAATTATACATCACTATTGAGATCTTTAGTATTTTTCAGGATATTGATAAGGGCATGTATTAATTCAAGTGTTTTATTCTGAAACCTGTAAAAGTATTGCAATACTTGAATAAAGAAGCCTATCATCTAATTTTTATGAAATAGTATAACATAATCATTTATGGTCTTTCCACCCAAGAGCAGCATCATCAGGACATATTTTGCATAAAAATCTATAGCCTCTGCCAATGCATATAATCAAAACATCCTGGTCATGTGGCATTTGTTGAACTATTTATTTGGTTGAGGGTAGATGCATGAAGTGTGGAAAATCCATCAAAATCAAGCATCACTGTAATGACGATACCTGTGCTCATTTATGTTGAGAATCAGTAGCATAGGATTGGAATTCCATCAACTTATTATGTTTAACTATTGTTTCATGCACTGATGTTTATGTTTTTTTAATAATTTACTGAATCTGACCAAATCCAACATGTAGGTAATCTTTCCACCTATTAAGCATCAATTTTCCTGAAGAACTTCATGATTCTGTTTCCTCATGTAAGCGACAAAAATAAAGTGAACTGTACAAATTTTGATGGTTTTATTACATAGCAGTGTGGTGTGGTGATTTTTCTGCTGGTTAATTGTTTGTGTACTGATTTACAGGGAAAGGTGCCACTTATATCTGTAAATGGATTACATCAGTTGCACATTTTCATCTTTTTCTTGGCTGTGCTCCATGTAGTAAATAGTGCTGTTATAATGGCCTTGGGAAGAGCAAAGGTTTGTAAGAACTAGAGATTTCATTATCTTCTGCTGAAATAACTTCAGAATGTTCTCTATACATGACACTCTGTGATAGCATCACTTTTACATTGATTGGAGAACTTCTCTCATGCAGATACATGCATGGAAGGAGTGGGAAAAGGAGACTCAATCAGTTGATTATGCATTCTCGAGTGGTATGTTGCTCATAATTTTTTTTTTGTTAGCTATAATTATTTCATAGCTTAATCATCCACCTAAAAAGGGGGTTTGTTCCACATGAACTTCTGTACTATGGTCACAACTCGTGCTGTCTAAGATGCCACTGTTCTTTTACATTTTACAAGCAAAAATATTATGTTTCATGAACCTGGTTTGTACATATAAAATTATTCATGTGTGACATTTGTTTTGGGATAAGTCACACAAAGAGTAAGCGTTTGTATATAGATATGTCTGTATATTACATGTGTGCACATGTATTGTATACCAAGGACTGTCATCTCACACAGATCACCCATATCTGTCCTTGGCTAGATCGGTACATATCGGTCGGTACTAGTGTATACACTGGTGCATATCTATGAGTTGAAGAGAAAGAAGGGGAAGAGGAAGGAACATATGGTGATGGAGAAAGCGGAGGATGGAGGAAGAAGGCGAAGAAAGAAGAGGTGGTAGAGGAAGAGGAGGAAGAAGAAGAGAAACAAGGATGAAGAGGAATAAGGCGAAGGAAGAGGAAGGCAAATAGGAGTAGGAAGCGTACCCAAAATTGACGATAAGTGGTAGGTGGCTATGGGCGACAATAGGTGGAGCTCACAGTCTTGTGTATGGTGAAGAGGGCTCACGTTACCATAAAATAGTTCTTTTTTTTAATGTGTCAGACTGGACCATCCGACGTGGTGTCACGGACAAACTTCTCAACAAGACGTTGGATGTAATGCTTATGTGTGTCCGTGTCTTTTGGCATGTTCATGCCCTGTACAGAATGTAAAGGGGCGGCCGAAGGCTTATAAGTCCCATTTTAGTTGAGTTGGTGGCCTCTTTAGGCTTGTAAAT